AGTGGAAACAAGTCTCGATCATTATTCTGAAATCGGTTTTTGTTGTTCTTATAGTTTGACCTCGCTGGTTCGTGTTCTAAATAGTTATTCACGCAATACACAACACGTCACCCGATTAGTTTCCCATTAAGATAAGATTGCCTGTTGTGTTGGTCCTGCATAGATAAAGCGCTATTTTCACGGACGTCTGTTGCTGCAATCGGTCGCGATAGAAAGAGGTCCGATACAAAAGTTACATAGCTAATACATCCAGGGCACGTATTATAGAATCGTTCGGAATAGATTTCAATTGGAATTATTCCTTAGAAATTACAATTGAAGTCTGGAATGAATTCCGATCGAAATTTCCCTTCACAGAGAACACAATGGAAATCCAGAGAATAATTGAACAATTGATCTCCTTCGATCAGAATTCGTTAGGAAACAATTTCATAATGCGTGGATTTAACATCATTAAATCAAGGATCTTAAATCCACACCACACTTTGGTGTTATATTTGGTAATAATTTTATTTAGACTATCAGAATGTTAAAACTTTTTCTAACATTGTCATCAACAGTTTAAGAGTTTTAACAATTATTTTGATGGTCCAGCAAAATTATTTTAGATCTAGTTAAATTTTTTAATACTTCAACAAAACCGTTTTTTTTTTTTTTTTTTTTTTTTTTTTTTTGGTAGTTTGTGAAATACGGCGTTAATTGTTACAGTTACCATAAAGATGACGATTTGGTGAAACTGTATCTCTTCTTTTTCGTATTTAATAAGCAGATGTCTCAAGAAATAAAAACTATTGACAAAACTGCAAAGTTTAGACGCGATAACGATAATATTTATGATCTGCGCGTTTTATCGATGAAGTCGCTCGAAAATAGATCCTTGAGGAATTCTCTCTCTGCAGGGTTAAAGAATCAATTCTCTTAATCGATTAAGGGGGAAGAATGCGAGAGGAGGAAAGTAGGAGAGCGATGGTGGAAGGCAGAGCAAGTGGGCGAGGATAGAAGAGAACGCTTCTTCGTCGCACGTGAGAGAAGCTCCGAGCGATCGCGAATCGCTCGAGTCGACGTTGCTTTTAGTGCGACTCGCGTATCCGACACGCGAACACGCGATCGTATCTTCCGCGTCCCACCGAGGATATTAACTTTATTGTACTGAAGACTCGCGTGGCTCACGAAAAACACACATTAATCACTAGAGCAAGATACATCGGGATTGTGAAGGTCGCGATTATCCTGCGAGAGTCAAAAAATCGGTACGAATCGAGATAAATTTAATCGAGTCGTCGTCATTTTCTGTATCTGTATACTTTTAGATTTCCTCGGCTTCCTCGTTTTCTCGAATCGTTTAAATCCTCGAATCCGTATATATAAATGGACCGAATTGTATAGATACAATTCACCTCCGTTCGAGTTCCAATAACGGATATCTGAATCTCTCTTCGATATCTCTTCAATCAATAGCTCTTTCGAGATTACTTTTCTCAAATCGCACTTTTAACCTTTTTCTCGATGCAAAGGTTAAATCTGTATCGAATATTAAATAGTAAAAATTTTATATCTTTGTACGACTTTTTTTTTTCATTACAACGCCTCAAAAATCTCGGTTTGTTGCTCTTCGAGCAACAAGAACAGTTTTGTACAGACTTTATCTTCACTTTTATGTTTTTAGAGGGAAATCCGGTAGTGGAAAAGGTGAAACATTATGCATGAAAAGGATGGTTCTGTTAACACATCTAAAAATTTAGCTACAGATCCGAAAATAATTTTATTGGGCCGTCGAAATAATTATGTAGGGCGCTCAAACTGATTGCTGGAATGCCAAAAACTTAAACTTTTTGCAGCATTGATCATTATATATGTATTTGAAATTTTTACATAATTATTTTGAGGATCCAACAAATTTTATTTTTAGATCTGTATCTGTAAGCTAAATTTTTATATATTTTAGCAAAATCGTTCTTTCCGTGCATTAAGGATTTAAACTCGCCCGAGATTTCCCGGTGTATCGACACGCCTAATCGGCCATATATATATATATCGCGTGATATTTAAATTCCAACCCCGGGGATCCGTACCGAGGATTTTTTGGAAAATCTATTTCGGTCGATGGAGCGTACATAGTCATTCACGCGATTCGCCGCGACAGAATTCAACGATAAACGACGCGGAGTTATCAGAACGGACGATCAGGATGGAGGCTTCTACGATCGCTCTGCAAGACGCACGTAAGATGTAAATTTCCATTTCCATTCTCTAAAATCTT